AACCAGTAAAATTCTTGTGACAATGTTGAGGAGCCATTCAATGTATTTGGGACAATGATGAATTTGTTAAATAATAATCAAGGAGTTAATAATGTATTACAGGGTGATTTCAGGAAATTTGATATGCTGTCATTTTAATCATACAAAATCTTCATTATCATTCTATAAACAGGGTGAGTCAGTTTTTTGTAGCAGGAGTTCAACATCTGAGCACTATTGGGTGCAATCGAGCGTTCTTGAATACCTACAGGATGATACACTTTTGAGGGTCGTACCTGAGTTAACCCTCTCGAACTGTTTTGCGTGCCGCCTCTGTTCTCTATGAAACATCAATTTAGATTCTTCCTTCAAATTGGATACTTTTTGGTTTCTTCTGTTTTTTCGATAGCTGTATGGGTTTCAAGATAAATGCCAAAACTAATTTACTTGTACACGGTGTGCCAAATTAGATATAGAACAAAACTGATGTTGGTGCCTGTTGATTAATTCACATGACAAACTCAATGGTGAAAACTGCATATCGATATCTACCTTTGCTTTAGGTGTTTTTCGAGAATATGAATTTTTGAAAAGTGTCTGAAGCTCATTTCTTTGTTAAAAATTATTCGTTTCCATAAAAACATTCCAAAGCCTTGTGTTTGTCATGAAAATTGATCTTCAGGCACTGAAATCAGTCACCGTTTGTTTCAAGAAGAACAAGTCATATTCTTGAACAAGATATAGGGAGGCCGATTTCAGTGCCTCAGGAATGATTGTTATCACAAACTAATGCTTTGCAGTTATTTTCATGAGAACACCTTGTAACTCCGAAAGGAAGACAGATATCAATATGCGGTTTTCACCATTGAGTTTTGCATGAGAATCGATCCCCAGGCACAGACAGTTTTCTTCTATCTAGATGGAGAATAGTACTTTTCCTTAAGAAGTGACCAATTTGCCCACCCTGAACATAATAATTTTTCGAGTCCTAACGCAATTTTTGAAGTTATCGAGCGTTCTTTAATACCTACAGAATGATGGGGCCGTGCAAACTTTGAAACCTTGTATATCGGAAACGAAGCCCCCACGCATATATTATTATGTTAACAGGAGATTTTCATCTTGAAAAAATGTCTTCTTCAAGCTTTAAAGGTCCTGCTACAAAAAACTGACTCGCCCTGTATATCCCAGCGAAATTAGGTTAATACGGTATCAGCTATATTTGGAGGATAACAAATAACTTGAATATACAGGATGTGTATGAATGAATAAGACTGATTTTCTATACCAGCTAAATTAATTTTTCCAGTGAAAACAGACATTTCAGTACACACCATTCACAAACTCACACTTTATCGACTTTTACCCGTCAAATTCCTGATTTTTCAAAACGTAGCTAGATATGAGATTTCAACCGATTTCAACAGACATAAGTGATAGATTATTTTAAAAATCTTGAACATACTTCATCTCGGAAACGAATTACTTTCGGACAGGAAATGTTTACATGAACTTTTTCTAATTATGACTCAAAACCACAAAAGTTTCATGCAAAATGAATGAAACACCCTCCATATTTCAATATTTCAACTTGTACAAAAATAACGTTTTTAGTATCTATATTACCTATTCAAGTGATCAAAACCAATAACTACTAATGATTCGTTCGATTTTGAAGTGTCGTCCTTTACTAGGAATGACAGCTCTTTCTACTAGCATCTAATATGTCGTTTTGATTCTGGCCTGATTACTCAGAACGAAAAAGTACAGGGTGATGAACTATTCAGAGTAACAACAATAGAAAGTTCAATGATTTTCTCAGGTTCAGACCCGATAATATGAATACCTATATTATTCGTAAGTATCTTTATTCATACACGTTTGAACATTCTGTTTCTTGAATTTTACCCGAAAGTGTGATAAATCCATATAGCGAAACACCATCGTATGGATTTGAAAAAAGCACCCCTGTTTCTTTCATTCATCAACTTTATCTCAGAATATAATAATAGTAAGTGAAAATACCATGGTTAACATGATTAAAAACTGTTGATCTCGAAATAGTTATGTGGATGGCGATTCTGATAGTCAGAAATTACAGGAGATCTCCCCAATATTTATATTCACGTGAAACGCCAACAACGTAAATTAGATAACATTCGAATCCGAAACGTAATCCGAAATGGGATATTATCGAATAATCCCCAACCCTCGATTTCCACGATTCGCAGGGCTCGGGAAAATGCCGGAAAATATTTATATTAGATTCGAGATTAGATCTGGATGATATAATTGATGTCTCGTCTGGCTGATGGAAAAAAGTATGGAGATGTTATGCTGACGCGTGCAGGAATGTGATTTGGGAATTAGAATGGTAGGATATTTGTTTCATTTTTATGAATTTCATAATCACGAAATTGTCAGAATATTATGATTATTCATGAAATTCTCAACATATTTTCAACGCATGTTTTGAATCTTCGGTCGGTTTGTTATTCACGAATTTGTGTTGCCTCCCGAGTTATCATGTTCAAGAGAGTGGAGCTTTTTTTCTATGTAGATGTAAAATGTTGATGGGTCGTACAGGCTAAGAGACCTCTCAATCTCAATCACTGCGACCTAGAAGATCTATTGTGATTACCCTTGTTTAGTTTTGGTCCTCTAACCTTAGACTTCTGATGAAGCCTAGAATTTTCCTGACAGTTGAATTTTCCACCACAGCAGGTGTGAGATAGACCTGTTCTAGGTGATTCAGCTTTTGGCGGACTAATACTTTACATGAGCAAAGTATGTGTTCGGTCGCATTGTTGCAGAAGCGGCAAGTGTCAGTCTCCGCCAGGCCCATCTTTTAGAGGTGGAACCTCAGAGGGCAGTGTCCTGTGAATAAGCCTGTGATAAGCTTCAGCTCTGGTTTGCTGAGGCTGAGTAGCTCTTTGGCTCGGTTCTGCGAATGGTTGATGAACCTTTTTGCTTGTCGTTGACCTGTAGTTGCTCTCCAGTAGGAGGACTTTTCAATTTCTTCCCATTTCATGAGTTCTCCCTTTAGGTGACATTTGCTTATCCCACAAAAAGGCTCAGGACCAAAGAGTGCAGATACTGCACTTTTCTCTGCCAGGCGATCAGCTGCCTCATTTTCGTCGATTCCTTCATGCCGTGGAACCTACATAAGTGTGACTTTGTTGTCCTACATCCCAGTGTTTCAAAGCAGTCCCACATGTAATCTTTGATGTAAAAACAAATGATTTTAGGGCTTTTAGTGCGGCTGGGCCTCGGGCTGGGCTGTCGGAGCAGATACATATGTTCGCACCACTCAGACCTTCGCTCAGGCACCTGGCATGAATTTCAGCTTGGAAGATAGTGGTGGAGTGACCTAAGGCTTCAATCACTAGACAAAGGCGAAGTTTTCTTTCTTCGGTATATATTATTCTCAATATCCAACGCTATAGTAGTCCAATCAGAATTGACAGACAGCTAGTGCTTTTGCGAACATATATACAAGTTTTCTTTGGTTTGTAATTGGTCATATGTGAGAATTTTACGATGAAGGAAATATAGTCATGCTAGAAATCTAGACAGATCTAGAATCAAAAATTGAAATTATAAAAATGCCTATACCTACATCTATGGACATATATTTTGAGAAACACTATCGCTGGTTATATTCTATAATTGAAGAAACAATAAATCACAAATAAACTGGGCGTCAATTGAAACGTTAATAGTGAAATTTGGCATCAAGTTTGACTTCTCGTAATTTCTAAAATATTGAACGAATTTTGAATTGCCGCCCAGATTGTGAATGCCTTTTTCATCGTCTTTCGAACCGTTCCTTACAGCTTCTTCTAAATTAATCAGGATCCATGATACAGGGTGAAACAAAGTTACGTGCATTTTGGAAAACATTTCTCCGCCCCCCCCATTTTGTCGGAAGCTCACGATGCTCATATTTTATTCAGGCATTTCATAAATAGCAACCATACCTCGGGACATTTTCGAGTTTTTGCCAAAAACTACTGTGGTTTCCGAGAAAAAAATTTGTTTAGCATTTTTTTTAAATGGACTAATTACCTGTATCCTCAGAACGATGAATCAGTCTCTTTATTGTCATGACTGACTTATTGAAAATGGTATACTTAAATGAGTTTGGGTATATCCTAATCGTCGTGACCTGAAATAATAATTATCTGTAGGTACTGAATTATAATTTATATCACTATAGTGATCTTACCTAATGATATTTTCCATTTCGACCCGATTTGAACGAGGCATCTTTAAATTTTTTAGGACCCGAATTACACTGACGTTTTCATGAAAATTGGCAATTGATATAACCTCTATGCATACCTACATTGTTTCAACAATACGCTGTTATAGAAACAAGGTATCGTTGTTTGTATTTTTTGATGAGATGTGTTGATTAACTGCTCACTAAGGTAGAAAACTTTTATCATAGACTGCGGAGTAATAAATTATTGATTGTTTTTGAGTAACCTGGTATACATACCTGCTCCAACGATTTCCTGGAAATGCATAAAAGCATCCATTTATGGAACTTCTCTAAAATTAGTCCATTTAAAAAAAATGCAAAAAAATTTTTTTTTTCGGAAACCACAGTAGTTTTTGGCAGAAACTCGAAAACGTCCCGAGGTATGGTTGCTATTTATGAAATGCCCGAATAAAATATGAGCATCGTGGTCTTCTGACAAAATGGGGGGGCGGAGAAATTTCTTTAAAAATGCACGAAACTTTGTTTCACCCTGTATCACGGGTCCTGTTCAATTTAGAAGAAGCTCTAAGGAACGGTTCGAAAGACGATGAAAAAGGCATTCAGAATCTGGGCGGCAATTCGAAATTCGTTCAATATTTTAGAAATTACGAGAAGTCAAACTTGATGCCAAATTTCACTATTAACGTTTCAATTGACGCCCAGTTTAGATCCCTTCATGGAAATGGAACAGCCACCCACCTTAGTACGACTCGTTACTGTATATTTGATATGATGTGTGAAACAAAACACATACATGGTTAGCGTCGAGGTTAGCGTGTTCTGTTCCATTATCGATATTTACCACCACCGTGGTTATGCATCGAATTGCGGTTTGTTCCGGAAATATATAGACGGTAATCTTAGAAATGCCGCTACTCCGGTTACATAAGGGTACAACATAGGTTTCTTCAAACCAAACCAAACCCGGAATAATTGCCATCTCGCGTAATTCGAAAACGCTGGCAAAACGTCCTGCATCCTTAGTCACATCCTCATCTGCGTCAATTATGATGAACAAGCCAATTTTCTCGCAATTTTCCCTCCTTACACAAGTGGATTATAAACGAGGAAACTGGAACATTGAGGATTCATCTCCGTAACCACGAATTTGGATCGAGAGAACTGGCAACTAACTCAACATTTCACTTAAAAATCAACTTTCATAATCAATTTTCAACATCAGTTGCCTGAGTGAATACCAATGAAAATGATTATGGAAAGCCATACAAGGTGTCACATGATTATCTTACAGTATATTGGCAATCAATTTCTCGACCAAAAATTCAAAAACAAAATTCGAATGATCAGGGGTCGAAAACCCGCTCCCTAGAGACCTTTGAGACTTCCATGGAGGTGTTTTTTTATTATCATTTCCGAAACTGTTCGAGATACAATAATTACATTTTGTAAAGATGCAGAATTCAGAGATGTATCAAACAAGATCGGCTTAGTCAACTGCTAGATCTCATAACTAAGAGATCCAGGATGAACAGAGATGTCCCAATTGTCAGCAGAAGCGAGACAGTATACTGTTACGACCCACCAGGTCTCATCAGCCGCTCTCGGTCTGCTGACAACTGGGACAACTCTACGCTTCGGGTATATCACCCATTTGGAAGACGCAGGGTATAACATGAAGTTCTAGTCATGTTGTAGCCATCTAGTGGCAAAGCTCTGAGGTAGGATCAAGAGATCGCGACACACACTGTATCGCGCTGCCATCTATAGTCACACGTACATACCTTACGTCTATACGCTACAGAGTGGATTTTTCCACCGACCTATTGAACTGCTAGATCTCATAACTAAGAGATCCAGGATGAACAGTGTACGTTCCGCTGTCGCTTTTTTGTTATATAGCAAACATTTCTGCAATTTCATCACAAAAACTGAAAATTATCAAAGTTTGTCTCGTAACCCGATTATAACTTTACTTCTTATTTGTTGGTTTCCAGACTGGCAATTATTAACATCGTTTGAATGCCGAACAAATGAAAATCTTGTTTTAAACCTATCTATAGATATATAGAATGGAAAAGCCCATAACGGGTGAATATTTCTTTTGTACTCTAAAAATATATTCAATATAGAATACGGTATCCAACTGTCCCATCTCCACAAAAAAGCGTAGGCAATCATATAGATTTCATTGTGGACGGAACTTCACAATATTTTCAACAGAAACTAAGGCATAATTATTGCTGCTAGTACTTTCCCCAGGAAAAAATTAAGATTATTCAGATAGGTGTATCTCAAATCAAAAGCATGTTCATTTTTAGGAATATTGAGATAACAGGTTATCTAAAAATTCACTAACTTTTCAATACATGCTTCACTAGACTATACAGGATGATTCACGGTGGATGGTACATTAGACGTTTCTGGTGAATTTGAAAATTCGATGGAGAACATATTCGGACATTCTATACTCAACTGAAATATTTTCGTGTTGCCATTTCTGTTAAAAAGTTGTAGCAACTCTTGTGTAATTGGTGTTTTGAAAATTCCATTGTAACACAAAATGACGAGTTTCTTAACTGATTACGTAAATATCTATTTTCTAACACTAGCTCTAGAACATACCATCGTCACAGAATACTCAACAATTGTTTAGTATTCTGTGCCATTGTTCACTCCTTTTGAAGGGGTGAAGTGTAGATTTCGTAATTTTATGAACCACTAGTCAATGAAGACCCTCTGATGTAATAGGCGAGTGGAATATTTTTTTTTTCTTAAATAGAATCATCACTCGAGTACCTTTCAATTTCATATTTTTTAAGAATTTTTTGGTCGATTTTCAGGTGCTAAAATCATCAATAATGCCAAGGTAATTTTCAAACAGCTAGAAATTTACCACCAGTAAAATCTGTTATGATTTGTGGATTATTGCTTATCATGAATTTGTGTAAATAATAATTTTATTAATTCACATTAGAGGACAATTGAATCGGTGAACGTGATAACCACGGCGCAAGACTTGTGGGCGTGATCTTGTCAGTTTTCAGCATTCAGCACAATGTTGTCAAGTCTCCAACATTCTCATGATATTTTGTTATGGGGAATAAGAAATATTTGGACATGCTGGTTGCTCAAGAATCATGGGTTCCTCCTATTATGTTTCATTCAACGACAGGACTCTAACATCTTTTCGATAACTTGATTATAATTCGTGACTTGACAACCTTGCTTCATGAGTGGAAATGGAAGATTATCTGACCAATAACGAAACAGCATAAAAACTGACGTCAACATTTATTCGACGTATCGCCAAATGGCGGCCATGAAGGTTCGTTTGAAATGAGCTCTGAAATTCAACAATTTCGAACAACGCATGGACTCATTATTTACATAAAAAAAACCTGAGACGTGTTACAAAAATTAATTTAGGTTTCTAACGACATCGCGGAGTAATTGAATGCCAATAATTCATTATCACTCCACTCGCCCAAGATTCGCAGGATTGGCACTCGAATCTCGTAGGTATATTTCAATAACGAATTGTCATATTATGCTGTCATGGTCATGGCTACTAGATGTTGATCAAAGTTGAAAAGAAGTGCTTTCATATTGACAATAGGTCCATATTTCAGTTTCACAGAACTATAGTGTTTGAAATATAGTGCTAGTGGTGGAAATTAGTGAAAAATATTATTACCACGGGACCTTATACTCCTCGGCTGAAACCTCGGAATATAATCTTGGTCACTGGGTAATACTGATATTCTTTACTACCTTGGTGTATAAATAACTATTTCATACGTTTTCACGAGATTTTAGTAATAACTTTTGTTCCTCTTCACTCGACTATCGATATGTATAAATACAATATGAATGGGTATCGTGTATGGATGGATACAGATATCGACGTGAGTGGAAGAATGGACCCTTCCTGCTCGAAACCTAGTGAATGATTCAGTTTCCTTGTTCCCTGAGCCAGTTGCCAGCTCGCATAACTCCGCCCTTGCACCTTGCTCGTGCCATCGACAATCAGGGATGTTCCTGCTAGTACAATTGTACTATCACTAGTACTATCCACTGATTTTTAGTACTAGTAATAGAAAATAGATGCAATTCTGGTACTATTTTCAATTTTTGGTCTTTGAGTCCATGAAGTTCTATTTATCGGTATATTAATGAATAAGAAGACATTTTATAGAAATTTAAGAGAAGAAACATAATGAGAATGGAAATTACCATTGATGACAAATGACTTCGACATGATTGTTGACTTTGATCTTTGGAATTTGAATGTTTGTTTATTACATGTTTGGATGGGAATGATTTATTTTTGAAGTATTTTTAAATAGAGATTGAGAAGTATTTTGTACTTCTATTTCAACATCTTAGCTTTTACCTACATAGGAATTGAAGTTATATGCAATAAGTTTGAAGGTTCAAGATTTGAGATATATGTAATCAAAATAAAAACAGGATGCAAAAACAGGATGCCAAAACAGAATTGAAATATAAAAGCTGGAATTCCATCAATAAGGTTGTTTGACGACTTTCTCTTCAAATTCAAGATGATATGACAGAAATATAGTTCCGTGTGAAAAATGATTGCTGTGATTGGTTGGGTTTCTGAATTTTAAGTCGCATAAAGACCATCACGTCCGTATCTAAAACATGAAACTTATTGCCTAATGCATGAAATTGTGTTCTGTAGTTCGCCACAAGGACCTGTGTGTTCATTTTATAATTCTTGCATCTTGAATTATAAAACTCAACACTGATAACATAAAACTTCAATTGTGTCGCAGCCTTTACCAACATTTCAAAAGCTGGACCCTCCCAAGCTGCAGATATGTGTTACTAAATGCCTGGTTTTAAAATCTGACATTACCACTAATAATCTAGTACCTTACACTCGAATCTAGTACGAAAATGAGTTCAATTCTAGTACGATAAATTTTAACCCAGGAACATCACTGACGTCAATATTGAATTAGTTTTGCGGAACGACTGAATTCTAGAAGATAGTTCACTTAGTGAAATCCGTTTGTCGGTACAGCCCAACATTGCATTTTTTGCTTTTCTATAAATCATTGCACCGCCAAACGGTTGCGGTCGGTTGACAGCTAATTAGATTGCGATTTCAAAGGCCCCGGCAGTCGTTAGCCGGCAGAATTCAGCGGTCGGCTAGGTCGCGGCGAGATCTCTTAGAAGTCGAAAAATGAACGAGTGAACTGTCTTATAGTTTATCTTCTGTAGTCTATGACGATACCGACCCAGCAAAACGTTTTCGATTGCCTTTCCTGGCACCATACGACGGATGACCCAGCTACGAATGGAAATTTCGGCATACATAACCCATTGTGATGGGTTCGGAGCGAGAATTGTTAATGCCGGATCCGGATAACGAAAACCGAAAAGTTTTGGTTATTCACGAGGGGTAAATTCCGTCGGAAATCTGGACTAGACTGCCAGTCCTCGGAAGTCCTTGAAACTCTTCAGCACTCTTAGAAATTTTTTGCTAAGTCATTGGCCTCTATGAAAGTTTTTTTGAATCATATATAGGAAGAATTAGGAATTATTTGGAATCATTGGAAATCACTGCAAGTCTTTGGAAGCCATAGTCCCAAGGGTATGTAAAAAAATTGTATAACCATGACGATATAATAAACATTGTAATTTGTGATTACCTAAAAGGTACATCTTTGGTATTATTCTTTATAGGATTATATCCTGATAATCATCTACACTCTTATAAGTCAAACATATCGATAAGTTTGTCAATATACTGGGTGGCCCACGAGGTTTTGGCCAGTCGATATCTCGGAAACTATTTGAACTATAATTTTGAAATTTGGTGGTTTCAAACAGTGGAATGTGTTGTTCATTTTTGATATTTTTGTAATGCTTTTTCTACTTATTTTGTTTAGGAAGTTGTTCTTCAATAAATTTTCCATTTTCCATTTATTTGACAGCTTATATTGTCACCGTTTCACATAAAAACCCTAACAATGATGGTATCGTAGTATTTGCATTAGAAAGGT